GCCCGGGCCTTTGCAGGTACTGGAACTTTAAAAAGACACAGGAAAGGCTAAATATTGGTGTGCAGGGGGGCATTATATAGATTTTGTTTTTTAAGTTATAGACATTTGTATATTGTGTATAGTTCTTGAAGATATTTGATGTTTATTTTTGTCATATCTTCTTTCCAAATTTAATTTTTTAAATTGTTCCAGTATTGAGCAAGAGGGCTGACGCTAGAGGCCACAAAACAGGCTGCAGTGTGACCTGTCAGGGCATGTTCACACTGCCAATGTACGTCCACTAAGTGTTTGTCACTGACAGGCTCAGGTTATTATAGTAAATGTCAGACACCATTATGAAGAGCATTCCCACAGATAGAGACCTCTTTGTTAGAAACGAAGATCCTTTTTGTTTAACCAGAATGCCATAGTGTATAGAGCCAGCTATTTTCACATCTAACTGGGTGAATTAAGGGTTAATTTTAACCAAACCAATGTGTTATTGTTGCAACAGTGGAAGGAGGGATTGAGACTTTTTTTTAGTTCATTTTAGTTTGATTTTCTCGACTCTGAATAAAGTGTGATTTATGATGATAATATTACTCTTTATTTAAATGGAGTCTGGTGGGTTTGGCAATGGCGATTTCGGGTCTGTTTCTTATTAGATAAAAAGATCTTACTGTTAAACAAAAAGGTTTATCTCTGCAGGGATCCTTTCCATTGTCACACGTTCATAATACCAACCTGAGCCTGTCAGTGGCAAAACCAAGCACTTTCAGTAGACGTAAATTGACGGTGTTGCAGCCTGTTTTGCTGCTGCCAGCTGCAGTGCTCTAAATTTAAAGAACTGTTGTCTCCATTTGCCACTCAGACACAAAAACTTGACTAAATAGGGTCCAGGTCGAAAAATACCAAAGACAATCTTAAACTGTGTCTCTTGTTTTTCTGAGTATGATGAGAAAAGAACATATAGAAGAAGTAATATACTCAGTTCTCCTGTTGCCTTTTCTGATATCAACTTATTTCACTGCAAGCTTCTGTTGCTGTTAAATGAACGTTTTCTTTCTTCTCCCTCAGAGAAGAACAATCTGTCATTCATAGAAACGTCAGCCTTGGACTCAACAAATGTTGAAGAAGCCTTCAAGAATATCCTTACAGGTACGCATGTGAAGAGAGGTGGGATGTCAGAGCCGCGCTGTTGATATTGTACTTGAATTATAAGAAATGAAAGTACTGTTAAATTGTCAACTTAACTTCTCGTACTCCAATTATTCCTGAACCCTGGTTGATCAACACACCATTATTATATAATTCTGAGATGAATCTGTGCCCTTAAACTGTGTTAAGTTTTTACATTACAAGCTTTAAGACGTGTTCAGACACTAAACATCAACTTAAAGTCTGTTATACACGTAGCTGCTGATATTAACAGAGATCAACTATTTGCAGCTGCAAAAAAGGTCATGTCATAACTTAACTCTTGAACTATACTTGTGTAACTTCCTCTTACTGTGAGAGGTTTTTCTGATCTGTCTGCAAAATCTAAACTGAAGTATCAACAAATACCTCATCACTACTTTCACCCCTGAGTTCCAGTATCAGCACCCAAAACAACGAAAGACTTTAGGAGGACAAAGGCTGATGTGGTTCTTCTCCATCTTTTCAAAAACAGAAATCTACCGCATCGTCTCGCAGAAACAGATTGCCGAGCGGTCTGCCCATGACGAGTCCCCAGGAAACAACGTGGTGGACATCAGCGTGCCACCCACCACGGACGGCCAGAGGGGGAGCAAACTGCAGTGCTGTCAGAACCTGTAACCCATGGCAACCGTCCCTCCTCACCTGGGTCGATTATTAATTGAAATCCGCAGTGTTGGTGTGCTTCCATCTGCCTGGGGTGCAATATTGTCTGAATCTGCACTTTTTGGATCAGTGGAGTCAGTTCCGTTTTGCCGCACACGATCAATTCCAGAATGAAGTGTTTGAATTGATTTCAAATTGTAATCTGACCCAGGCACAATCTGCTACATCCCAGTGCAAAAACAGGACTGATGGTATCGCCTACTGTACGTAGCTGCCACAGTTACCCATGATAGCGTAGCAGAATAGCTTTGCCTGAGACCTTGTAAGCCTAGACATCTCCCTGGTAGACGGTTATTGCCACATGTTGGAGGCCTGCCTGTTTCAGTCGTACCAGCAGTCCTGTTTTTGGGCTTTCCTCTTCCTCGTTCAGTCATCATCTCAAAAGTGGTTGTGACGCTGCTGATGCTTTTTTCATTTTGTGTAAAATATATTCTTTTTTTTTTTTTTTGTTTTGTTTTGATTTTGATAGCTTGTCCGCTCACATACATTATATTAATGCCATGAAATTAAATTTTACAATATTATGTTGCTGAGTCTGCTTTTTTTCTCTTGGTCTTATTTTAGCAGCACTTACACAAAATGACATACTTTACCTGCACAGTGACGCCAGGACCATTGTTGATAAGCTTTTTACTGTTGTTTCGGGTCAAGTTAAAGTTAGTTTGATCTACTTTAACACAAATCATTTTATCACTTCAGGTCCCACTGTAGAGGTCAGGGTCACAAGATAACTTTGGGGAGTTTTGAGATGATTAATATGGAGCCCCTAAAGCCTGTAAAGTTTATCTTGTGCATACAAGATAATAACTTGGTCCCATAAGATAATTAACTTGTGTGCACAAAATAAAAAATATCACCTTTCAAGACTTTAGGGGCTCTCAAGATTAATGGGGCAGGAAAAGAAAAACAAGCTGTGCTACACAGGAATCACAGAATCTCATCTCTTTATAGTGGATTTAATGAAACTATCTAAGAAGCTCATTTTTTGGTGGAGTTGGTAACAACTCACCTCAAACCTGTCGGACGCTGTTTATAATGTGTCGCAAGCCAAAAAAGGATGGGTACAACCATTGTAAGTATTGTATTTTATACATTTACATGTGTTCTGTAACATCTTGATTTGAAAAACAACTATTGTTGTAGTAAGTTTTAGCACACTTTCCCTCTGAAATGTAGTGGAGAAGAAGTATAATATAGATACGATGGCAGTACTTAAGTTAGGTACAAGTACCTGAAATTGTACTTAATACAGTACTTGAGTAAATGCCATATTGTTAGTATAGATTAATGGGGTAGGGAAAGCTAAAGGAAAGTGGTGCAGAGTGGAATCGTTACTCTTTTTGTGAAAAATTTAATAATTTGATCTCTTTAGGTCTCAAATGAAACCGCCAACTTAAAGAGGAAACTATTCTTTGGTGGAGGTGGTGACACGAACAGCGCTGTGGAGATAAATCTCGCAATGTGAGACTCAGCTAGTATCAACTCTTTACAAGACCCCAACTAGATACAACTTTTTTGTAAGATGTTGCAAACCAAAAATAATGGGCACCAACAATGTATTAGCAATGTTTTGTACTTTATGAACTTAGATGTTTTATGTTAATTCTTAAACTTTAAGGGAACAATTGTTGTAAAATAAAGTATAGTGCACTTTCCCTCAAGAAATGTAGTGGAGTAGAAGGATAAAATAGATTGAAATCGCAGTACTTAAGTGAAGTACAAGTATCTGAAATTGTACTTAATGCAGTTACTGTACTTGAGTCTTGAATCGTATACTTTTTCGCTTTACTTTTAGTAGGTACTGCAGCTGCCCTTAAAAAGTACGTACTGTTGCATGCAGTATGCACAGAATCAGGACATACTACTTTCTCATAACATTAAGCCTTGAACTGCGACCATATAATTTTTATCTGTTACCTTGGAGGTAAAACAAACACCACTTACAGAGTTCGCCAGAGACGGAGATAAACCCAGAGAGCTCTGTTGTTGTTACTCCACAGTGTATGAAGTTTGACTTCAAAGTTATAACTGCATAGACTGTAGATTGCAACACTGCAGTTCTCTGTCAGTTATTTTTGTAGTTATATCCTATTGTTGTTTGTAATATTTATGATTATTTAGTTCACTTAAACAATCAATATTCCTTTTGTTACTATTTGACTGGTCATCAGTTACTTGAATGCGCTATCTTCTGTCATTGCAACTTCTGACAGCTGTCAATCTGTCATCTGTTTGTGGCTCAGTCAATGTGACCTATCCACTGCGCAGAGGATTGTGGGTCAGAATAGCTAGTAAAGCATGTTGGTTTGCATACTGCAAAAATCAGATGTAGTAGGACATCCTGGTATTTTTGGAATACTGCATTTGACATACTATGTATTGGGACTTACATCAATCTTTTTCTGGTGCACTATTAAGTATGGTAGTATGGGTACTGGAACACACAGCGTGGTATCCTTAAAACAATGAACGACAGAGATCTCCCAGCACAAAAATATTGAATTGGAAAGCATGAGTATGGAGTATCGGGGCCTCCACAGTGATTGATCATTAGATATACTGCCCAACACTACATAAAAATTATTAGAAGCAGAAATACCTTAAAAAGTTCTTATGCAACATTGTCAGGTACTGCTTGTAAACATGCCCGCCAGTGAAAAGGAAAGTAAAAGCCAAACCCACACTGACTTTCATTTGGTGTTTTGCCTCGCTTTGCATTTTTTTAGTGCTGTGTCTCTTGGATGCCTGCTGCTTACGGTTTGGCAACTGGTCGACCTTTTTACAAAACCCTGACCTCACCTGAGTGCTGTGGGGGAACACACCTATAAATGTCCTGAACACAGAAAATACAGGCAGAATCTGCAGTTAAATACACCGCCACATGCTAACAGTGGGTCATAAGTGATGACTGAGAGGGATTACTTCTGTATGCGTCTATACATTGTGTTGTAGGAAAATCCTGCACAGTATACCTTTAATACAGTATTTGAGTGAATGTCATGTTTGTAGTGTTCACTGTACCGTCCTAGAAACAATGACTGCAGGTCTTCCGGCAAAATAATATCAGATAGGAAAACATGATTATTAAATCTCAGGGCCCCTGCAGTGATTGAAGCAGAAATGACTAAAACCAACAGACAAATCACATTTCACACTGATTTAGTCCAGGAGTCCCTCGTGTTTTATTGCACAATAACCCAACTTTCCGGGGGATGCAGCAGGAAGACTACAATAACACAGAATACTTTGTAAAGCATATGCTGCGTACACTGATTGACATCTCAAAACACATTTTGCTTTTGCACCTTAACGGAGTACCAGCCTGCTCTGGTACATCTGTGTTTTCATATAGGACAAAAGTCTGTAGTCTCACTATTCTGAACACTGTATGTCTTCTATTTGCATCTCTTGTGATGTAGGACGTAACTACTGGTCGTTGCTAGGCAGCTCAATCAATGAATGGTGCATTTACACGTGGAGCAGGGCTGTTTGCTAATGCACTTTTATGATAATAGTAGAGACATTAGCCAATTAGAATGTAAACACTTTTCCACACCTTTAATACTGTTGCCTTGTGTGTTACTGCGCTGCCGTTTAACGGCTTCAGTCAATGTTGCTTTGTATTCTACAATCTTCACTGACCCCGTGACAAGTGTGGTACATATGTGACGCCTTACCTGTTGTCTAAACAGGAATTTGATTTTCATTGTTCAGACAGCAACGATAAAGCTTCACCAGGAAACTTCAGAGGGGTTCAGATTGTAAATATCAACGTTGGTGTGAGCGACTGTCACTCTACTTGTCAAGAAAGAATATTCACAGATAGACTTAGTCAATCATGTTTTTCGGTTATTATCCTCTGCTGGGCTATTGGCTGCCCATTGTTCAGAAACGACTAAATACATTGTGAAGGGGCATGGGGGAATTATAGGTAGTGAATATGTTTCATAGTATACTGTAGTAGCATGCTGAATCAGTTATATCCTGCTACATTAGCTTGTGTCTTAGTATTTCATAAGTTTGTGTCACGGACGTTCAGTTGGGCTGGTTAGTCCATCATCCATGTGTTCAGTCGTTCAAATCCCAGCACTGGCTGTCCGGTGACAACTCTGTGGTTCAACATCGACTATGACTCCGGAATGAGTTCTTCCCAAAAACCACTTTTGTGGTCGGCCAATACCGTAGTAGTTTACATCAAGTGCTTCAATAAAACAAAAGAGGAGGGGAAAGTAGCTCTCCCCTCTCAGAATGGTCCTTATGAAGTGCAAAAGTTTATTAATATGATTAATCTTGTTTTTAGAGAGTGCTTCAGTGGGCGTTATATTTAAATATTCCTCTTGCCACCGCTCTGCACTCATACGATGGTCTCGTCAGTCATTTTCTTGGTCGACTTGGTCGGCACAGAACGCTGGGTGGTGTGCGCCCCTTTCATGTCAGGCATGAGCAGGCGCACTTTCTGATTGGTCCTCCTCCACTCCGAGTACAACTGACAGTGATACCGGAATGACACCTGAGATTGAATGGGAGAAAAGCGGGAGGGGGGTGACACAGGCGGTGACAAGGGAGGGAAAGACAGACGTCAATAACACTGACACCGAGATATTTGAGACAGAGTAGTATGTCTGCAGAACGAGAACGATATGCTGACTGAAGCTGTGACTGCTACTCAAGCTGCGAGCAAAAGAGCTAATCTTTCACAATTTGACATTTCTGATGATTCTTTCCCTGAGGATTAAAGGGTTATGTTTCTGAGGAAAGTTTCATGATACAACCTATTTTTAAAAGTATATGCTCCAGTTACGTCCAGTTAAGGAAAAGAGCAGAGTAAAAGACAGCTTATTCTTACTCTTCTCAATGAGATCAGCATGTATGTGCCTGCATGAACCACCTGGCCAACTGTCAAACAAATGAGAGCTCTGCGCCAGAGATTATCAAGTTGCACATGCCCTCGCGTCTATCTGTCCTGACTGTGTTCAAGTGCTTTTCAAGGTCATACTGGGACCAGAAAACAGTCACATAATCCCAACAATAATCAACAGCAGAGCATAGATCTGTTGGATCTGTGGGTGTGGTTGTCTTTGTATTGTGTCTGTGTGCCAGTTCGCTTTTGTTTTTTCAAATCTATGTGGGACACTGAAAAAATAACTACTAGAACCGGCTTGTGGGTGTGAAGATGCCAGAGACAAAAAAAAAACAAACATTGATTTTGTGCCAGCAGCTCAACACAAGTACATAAAACTTCATAAACATTTTTATTCGCAGTTAATGTTTTTCAACCTGGACTCTATTTTTCCATGTTTCTGTGTTTAAGTGACTCATAGGAACAAGAATTTTTGAAACTAGTCCAGTACTGAAAGAATTCAGAATTCAGACAGGCTACAGCATAACGTCTTGGGGCAGGTGCACCCCTTCACCTTACGTACACTAAAAGTGCCTGTTTTTACCACTAACAGACTCCGACTGTTATTATGAGTGTCTTACAATCTTACAGAAACAACCCTACAGAAAAATGTAACTTTTTTCCACACCTTTTGCTTGTTCTGCCTGTTTTCGCCCAAGTCTTGCTAACAAGTCTTGAATCTCATGAGAGGTGACTTGTTGCAGGACGAAAATGGTGGACATGTGGGTGAGGGTTGGAGAGAGAGTGGTGGTGGTAATAGTTTATAGTGTTGGGCGTACAGAAAGTGTACCGTACTCTTAGGGGTGGGAATCACCAGAGGATCCACAATACTATATTATCACAATTCTCAATTTTAAATATGTTGTGATATGCTGAGTATTGTGATAAAATATATTGTGATATATTGCGATTTATTACCTTTTTTCCAACTGTTGATTAGGTTCCCATAGGAAAACTTTATCAACATCTGTTTTATCTAATAAGATAAAGTTTCCAGACTGTTCATCTCACTTCAGACAATTTTTTGCAGCAGCAAAATGTATCTAGTGGCCTGAAAAAGCAATTGATTATACTACTTCAGTAGGCTACCTTAAGTTTAATTTGTATTTGTCATTTTAATAATTTATATAATAAAAAAATATATACTTGGCTGTGTGAGGATATGATATTGCAACACAAAAATATCGTGATACCATGCTGTATCGATTTTTCACACCTGAAAATATGATGGCTCTATACCTGCTAAAATAACTGTTTATTTATATGGAGTCTGGTGGCTTTGGTGACAGGGATTTGGGGGCTGTTTCAGGTGAAACTAAAAGGATTTTAGTCTTTAATGAAAAGGTCTATCTCTGAGGGGATCCTTTTGATGATGGTTTCAGACACTGAGAAAAACAATCTGAGCCTGTCAGTGGCAAAAACAAGCAGGTATTATGGACGTTAAATGACGGACCGCACCTGAAAATATGATGGCTCTATACACGCTAAAATAACTGTTTATTTACATGGAGTCTGGTGGCTTTGATGATTGTGATTTGGGGCTGTTTCAGGTGAAACTAAAAGGATTTTACTCTTTAATGAAAAGGTCTATCTCTGAGGGGATCCTTTTGATAATGGTTTCAGACACTTAGAAAAACAATCTGAGTCTGTCAGTGACAAAAACAAGTGCTTTCAACGGATATTAACTGACATTGTCGCCTGTTACACTGCTGCCAGCTGCTGCCCTCTTGCTCAATACTGGACAAATTTAAAAAAACTGTTGTTTCCATTTGTCACTTAGTCACAAAAACATGATAAAATAGGGGCCGCTTTATCGTCCTGCTTTAAGTAAAGCATTAATTACCAGTGTCCAGAGGATGTAGATAGTGAAGAGAGCGATGGTGAGGGCGATGAGGCCAACGGCCTCAAGTCTGCTCTTCAGTTGCAGGTGGTCCTGGGCTCCCCTCAGACACAGCCAGCCAGAGATGGCTGCCAGGGGTGTGATGAGAAGGAAGCAGGCCATGTCACACAGCAGCGTGCGCTTCTCACTGCGAGGGCCTGGGTCCTTCAGCCACTGAGCAAGAGCAACATGAAGAGTTAAGTTGGCTCAACTGAGAAAGAGCTCTCTACAGTATCACTGAAGTGTTAATTTAAAGGGTGTCTCTTAGTTAGCAATAACTATTTAAATGTTTAGTGTGAGTTTCTTTAACACGAATGAATTGATGCTATTGAAAACAAGTCTTGTGAATAGAAACCTCTTATTACAAGGTCGGGCAACCATATTATTATGAGCAAATCATCTCATATCCTGTTGATGCAACTAGTTGTTGGCACACACTCTACATGGCTTAAAATGACTCCAACAGACACATAAAATACTTAAAATTTCATTACAAGGCCTCCCCTGCCGTGAATGAATTAGTCTTTCTCATTTTGAAAACTAAAAACAGAAGGTCCTAAAAACTTTGTTCATTATAAAGCCTCTAACCTGTGTGAGTGGTTGTGGTCGTCGTTCAATAGTGAATTCTGTGTGACAGAGTTCACAGTAGCTGGTGTTGGAGGAAGACAGCCACTTCTCCAAGCAGCTCTTGTGCACTTTACCCAGCGTACCAGTACAGTCACAGGGTGAGAGCAGCGTCTCCCCTCCAGCTCCCTCATGACAAATCCGACACATGCCCACATCACTGCGGAGCGAAGTACAGAAGACAACAATGTGATGATTAATCACAGCACCATGTCATTACAGTGTGTTCATTAGGGCCCCCATATGAGTTCCTCCCTCTCTTACCTCTGCAAGCTCACCGCTTTGACAACAGTGGAGAGTGGGCGGCCATCTTTAGCCGTAACCTTGGCAATGTACTGAGCCTGCGCAGTAGAGTCAGACTCCTCCGAATCCTTGGAGGCATCAGATTCGGCGTTCCCAGAGTAATCACAAAGGGAGCCAGGTAGGTGGCAGCACCCTGACGAAGACATGGCTCAGCTGAGGGTGGCGAAGTTGATAGTGGAGGCGACTTAATAAGGAGGTCTGATCCAAAAGCCGACGTCTTGCTCCTCTTCTCTCCTCCTCTGTCCACCTACAGAGCAAATGCCTGGTGGATTATGAACAAGAGAGAAAGTATGGGTGACTTGAAATGACAACATAAATGCAACATGATGTCATCCTCACAAGCCTCTTGTAAGATTCCATGTAAGTCTTAGTGATGGCATGTTCACACAAGAGAGGATGAAGTCAGCTCAAGCTTTGGGTCTCAAAAAAGGTAGAAAATGTGTTTGCTGGAAATAAACAACACACGCAACCTTCAAAACGTCCCGAAACGAGACACAAAATCCTCCCTGATTACTGAACAAGTCCATCACTGTAGGCATGTTGTGAAGGCAAAGCTATGGCTTAGCCCCACAGAAAATTGAAACAAACAAAAAAAAGTATCACAGTTACTGAAAATGCCAAATATGTCCTGGTGCAGGCAGGGACAGGTGTAAACACGTATCAAGAACTTTTAAATTAGAGTGATGTCAGAAACATGACTGCATTTTATGATTAAATTATTTACTTAATAAAAGTAATCAAAGGTCTAGTGTGTCGAATTTAGGGGCATCTAGTAGTGAAGTTCCAGATTTTAACCAACTGTAACTTCTCCTGCATGACACCAAAGTATGTAAGACAGTAGTGTCCAAACTTTTTTAAATGGGGGTCAGATTAGATAATGTGAAAACACCTGGGGCCCAGCTGCTTCTCATACCTTATGGGTTATTAAAAGACAACAAAACATCACATTCAAGTGAGATAAACACAACTGTTTCGTCTTTCAGTAGAAAATTATTAAACTTTCCGCCACTTGCCCTTCCTGTAGACTTGACACTTCTTTGCTGTGGCCACAGCTGCTACCTAACAGGAAGTGTCTGCTGCTTGGCTGTTAACTGTCCCAACTTGGTGCATGTCTGCAAACTGTAGTGCTGCCATCATGATTAAAACATGCAAAGTAAACATGCGCCATGAGCCAATATTGTCGTGTTGTGTCACAGGCCATATATAGTATATTTTGAGAGACAAACAGTGGGCGTGGTGTATGACGACTACGGTGGCCAACACTAAAATGTGATTAATAAATAATAATAAAATGTATTTGATATAGCACCTTTCACAGAAATTAAAGTCACAAAGCTCTTCACAAGATGAAAGTCAAGAAATCCAAAAACGAAACATGCAATCAGTACAAACAAGGGCAATATAACAAATAAAACAAGGCAACAAAAATAAAGTAAAACATAACAAATACAGGCTACTGAGGCCCCAATACAGAAACATTCCAGCAAACAAGCACCGGTCAATTTAGGGTGGGACAAAGGCCATTTTGAAGAGATGGGTATTCAGATGTTTTTTTTTAAAAAACTTTCTAAAGTGACCACAAACTAAAAACCTATTGGTTTGTTTTCAGTCTGGAGCAGGGGGCAGCCAGTAGGTCCTGTTCTGAAGACCTAAGGGATCTACTGACAATATATGGATAGAGGAGATCACTAATGGACACAGGTGCCTGACCGTGGAAGGCTCCACTCAGTGTTTTAATTTTTCCATACTTGGCTAGGAATGGAAAAAAAAAACATAACATGGTGGACTCCGTTGGAGAGGACCCTCTCTGTATGTGGACATGAACGGCTCTTTCAAATGTAAAGTAAAGAAAACTTGTTTATATAGTGAGGACATATCTTATTTTTTAGGTGACTATATACAAATGAAAACATACTTCTGACTAATATGGCACATTTCTGCCAATATGCCCCTCTAAATCCTACACACTGGACCTTTAATAGGTGAACAGGTTTCAGTAAAGAAGCATGATACAGAATACAGGATGTTGCTATGCAGAGAAAATCATGTTCACATGTGTTCATATGGTCGTACCAGGAAGAAACTGTACCCCTGCCAGACTAATGCTGTCACCAATATGCTCTTGAGCTTCCTTATGAAACAAGCACTTTAATAATGCTTAATTATTGAGGCATATTCGTGTATCTAAAGCCCCAGACGATGAAGCAAAAATAACCAAATTAATGCCATTGCGAATTAATGCATTGCTTTGTTAACATCATATTACACACCAAGATAGACAAACCTCAAACTGCCAGATTATGTAAGCACTGTTCCTCTACATTGTCAATCATAGTTGATGATTACCAGTTAAAAAATCGCATTAAATTGTACCCGATATGTTCATGTTTGATACAGTGTCGTTACTGTACAACCTCCAACAAAGGCTATACTCATCCCAGCACACAACAGCCCTGTTAAGCGGTTCAACAGCCGCCAGCCGACAGCCTGATATGTACCGCTGGTGAACAGAAAAGCAGGTAGACACGGTGAAAACAGATGTTAGCGTGAATTTACTCACCCGACGGCCTCCCTTTTCTCGCTTGGCCTTGGCCTTGGCCCTGCGTTAACCAGACACTAGCTAGCTAAGCTAACTGGGCAGCCCTAGCTACAAACTATGACATTGACATCTAACCGAAAGCCGATGATATGAGGGGATACGAGAGACGACCACACGCGCTGTATCCTCTCCATGGCTGGTGGCGTATTTCCCTCGGGTGATTTGGATCGAAACGGTGACAAGAGACGGCTCTCTCTGCCAGGATTACCAGACACAGCTAACGCGGCTAACAGGCTAGCAATGGGCAAGCCTACCTCGGCATCCCTCAGCTGTGCACTGGTCATGTGACACAATGCTGCCTTCATAGCCCTCAGTGATCCTTTTCCTCTTCTTGGCGTCTAATGGTGATGTTGTAATAACGTACACTTCATACACGCACCAGTCACCAAAAAAGTGGGAAATATGACCACTTGTGTGATAAGTTCCAGTAATTTTCTATTGGCAAATATGCTGTAACTAAAGTTAGTAAATATTCCAGTGAAAACTGCGGACGAGTAATTACTTAACTTGCCTCATGATTTTATTTACTCATCAACTCAAAGGCATGACATAACCCTAAAACAAAGCAGTCATAAAAACCACCTCTTCTGTGTTGTATTTTTCCACTATTCCAAACGTTACAGTAACACAGAAACCGTCTCCAACCGTTGCAACAGCAATTTACGAGGATGCCTGAATGCAGCGCACGGTGCAAACAATACCTGAAAACCGTGTCATCTTGTCTGTTTGGATAAACTGTGGCTAAAATGTTTCACTCTCTTATTCCCCGTCAGTGTTAGTTTGATTGCAACAAGGAAACGACCATTATTCTCTGTCGATAAAACATCTGTAGGATGATATGTCAAAATATTACCGCTTGATGGCAGCATTTAGTCGACCCTCTCAGGGACAGCTGGGACAGATGTTCCACAGGTGAGGTTCAAGGACCTTTAGGAGTTAGACTGACACAGGGTTCCAGGGTTACAGTCACTAGACATTATGACAACGACACAGTACAACCATGATGGTTCATTCTTATTATAGAGTTTTGTGTCTAATGTTCCTTTAACATTTTGAAGAATTTAAGCCACACCAGTGGTATACAGTGACTGAATACATCAACTCATATGCTGTTCTTACAATTCAGAGGTACTTGTATTGTACTTGAGTATTTACTCCCACTCATAGGCAGATTATGAGACAACAGTCCACTGGGCATAGCATGCAAAAGGCCCGACTACCTCTCCTACACAGTAGCAGGATACACAGGCTTTGTGGTAGTTCTACATCTCTTTTTAGTCATTATGGAAAATATGTTGTGGTTTTATGTCTCTTTTTGGTCGTTTTGGGTGCTCTTGTGGTTGATTTTAGTCTCTTTTATAGTCATTTGTGTCTCTTTGTTGTAGTTATGCCCATTGTTGTATTTATTTTGTGTCGCTTTGCATTTCTTTTCTGTCTTTTTCTGCCTCTTTGTGGTCTTTTGAGTCTCCACATGTGTTAATTTGAACCTTGACAATTTGGGCCGCCAGTAGGTTGTTCAGTAGTCCATCCATGCTTCACTATATTTCAGATGGAAATATACTCTATGCTCAATTTATTTTTTTATTACAGGTATAATAAGCTGGCTACTTTACTAATTAAGTTTTACATGCAAAACATAAGATCATCTTATAAAATACACATCCTGTTACATGCTTAACTACCCAACAGTATGTTAGGTAGTTCAAATAGGTTCCTGCTCAACCAGCTACAGCATGAAAATGCTGCGTCAGTGATTCTAATTAAATTTTATAGGCTAATACAGTCAGGTCCATAATTATTTGGACAATGATACAGTTGTCGTCATTTTGGCTCTGTACACCACCACAATGGGTTTTAAATGAAACAATGAATACCTGCTTAAAGTGCAGACTCTCAGCTTTCATTTAAGGCTTTTTTCAAAAATGTAGTATGAACCGTGTAGGAATGACAACCACTTCTTCACACAGTCCCCCGACTTTAAGGGCTCATAAGTATTTGGACAAACTAACATAATCATCAATTAAACAGTCAGTTTTAATACTTGGTTGCAAATCCTTTACAGTCAATGACTGCCTGGAGTGTTGGACACATAGGCATCATCAGATGCTGGGTTTCTTCCCTGGTGATGCTCTGCCAGCCCTTTACTGCAGCCGTCTGCACTTCCTGCTTGTGTTTTGGGTGTTTTGCCCTCAGTTTTGGCTTCAGCAAGAGAAACGCATGCTCAGTTGGATTCAGGTCAGATGATATGACTTGGCCATTGCAGAACATTCCACTTCTTTGCCTTAAAAATGTCTTTGGTTGCTTTTGCAATATGCTTCAGGTCAATGTCCATCTGCACTGTGAAGCATCGTCCAATGAGTTTTGAAGCATTTGGTTGAATCTGAGCAGATAATGGTGCCCCAAACACTTCAGCTTTCATCCTGCTGCTCTTGTAAGCAAGACAAGACTTCACTAGAATAAATACAGAGGGTTTATCACAAGATGCAAACCATTGGTTAGCCTTAAAAATGGAAGGCCAGATTAGAGTTTGTCAAAAACCATCTAAAAAGCCTGTACAGTTGTGGAACAGCATACTATGGACAGATAAAACAAAGATCAACTACCAGAATGATGGGAAGACAAGAGAAGGAAGAAGGGAAGGAACTGCTCATGATCCAAAGCACACCACCTCATCAGTGAAGCATGGTGGAGGTACTGTTATGTCATGGCCATGTATGGCTGCCAGTGGAACTGGTTCTCTTGTATTTATTGATGATGTGACTGCTGACAAGAGCAGCAGGATGAAAGCTGAAGTGTTTGGGGCACCATTATCTGCTCAGATTCAACCAAATGCTTCAAAACTCATTGGACGATGCTTCACAGTGCAGATGGACATTGACCTGAAGCATACTGCAAAAGCAACCAAAGACATTTTTAAGGCAAAGAAGTGGAATGTTCTGCAATGGCCAAGTCATATCATCTGACCTGAATCCAACTGAGCATGCGTTTCTCTTGCTGAAGCCAAAACTGAGGGCAAAACACCCAAAACACAAGCAGGAAGTGCAGACGGCTACAGTAAAGGGCTGACAGAGCATCACCAGGGAAGAAACCCAGCATCTGATGATGCCTATGTGTCCAACACTTCAGGCAGTCATTGACTGTAAAGGATTTGCAACCAAGTATTAAAACTGACTGTTTAATTGATGATTATGTTAGTTTGTCCAAATACTTATGAGCCCTTAAAGTTGGGGGACTGTGTGAAGAAATGGTTGTAATTCCTACACGGTTCATACTACATTTTTGAAAAAAGCCTTAAATGAAAGCTGAGAGTCTGCACTTTAAGCAGGTATTCATTGTTTCATTTAAAACCCATTGTGGTGGTGTACAGAGCCAAAATGACGACAACTGTATCATTGTCCAAATAATTATGGACCTGACTGTATAATATAATAACCTAGAACCATATAATATATATTAACACTCACATGATTAATCTTCCTACAACATCAGTAATGTTACTTTTGTTACTCTGCATGCATTTAGCTGATGAAAGGTCTTTACTTTTGCTGTTACAGTTTGTTATTACTTTGTAGATTAAGATTTTTAAAACCTATAATGAGCATATAAAGTGTGATAAAATATCCTATGAAATATTATATGCTTTCCTGTACAGTAAAAGAAATCACCCAACAGTAGCCTAGGTAAAATCCATAAAATTATCTCAGACAACTCCATTAAAATGCTGCTTACGTGTTAATATATGAGTGATAATAGTCAAGTAATATTATTCATAACACTGGCCTTTACTTGTGATACGTTGGTGCATTTTGCATTGTGTTGATAACAATTACATACCTTAATAAAAGGAGCGTCTTGAATATAGGACTTCTTATAATGGCGTACAGGCTATATACAGTGTATTCTGCATTATAGTACTGCTACTTTTATTTTAGTAACTGATGTTAATACCTCATCTATGATCCACCGCCATTAATATGCTGTACAAACAGAGCTGATGATCAGCAAATATAAATTCCTCATACACTTGCTTCGTATTGACTTACTGAGTCAGTTGCACGTCATTGTTGAGTTAAGGGAAACATTTTCTGATGAGCCACAGAAATGTGCTGATCTTGTAAACATTCAAAGTCAAAAATATAAACCTCCCTACATATTAGCATACAGCACCATAAATATGAATATAAAGCACCCCACATTTATTATACAGCATCACAAATATGCTTTCCAGGGCAGATCTGATTGAGGTGATTTATCAATGGCAACAAAGGACAGTTTTGATGACTAAGAATCTGCCTTTAATTTAGCCTGGCACAGAATACAGAGTGGAATTTGCCCTAAAGGTATTAAAAGTTTTATTTTGAAGGTCACCACACACTGAATTAGGCTTCTCAGAAAGTATTTAGAAAGACAGGAAACAAAGTCAAGAAGAAGAAAAATAAAGGAAACCATGCTCAGCAAAATATACATGTAGCCTGTCTTAAGTTGGGTTTAATGCAGTGACTTCGACATGAGCCTGTGAACTGTGAATGCACCATATAGGCCAAGGCCATTGCAGCAGCTCAGGTTTGATTCATATCTGTGGCCCTTTGCTGCGTGTCATCCCCCCTCTCTCTCCCTCCTTTCCTGTCACCCTTCGGCTATGATATGATAAAGACAAAAAGCCCTGAAAAATGTACAAAACACACTGTTGACAGCCAGTCACAACAGAGATTATTGTGTAATTGCTGAGCTTCTACTGGATCAAAAGGTGTCTTGATGATATTGGGGAGTTGTGGGCATGGCGTTACTTTTTACACAGTGGACGTCATGGGGAACTTGCTGACAAATGAAAGGCTCTTCTGTAATAATAAGCTTGTTCTGTCAGATATTACGCAACCATCACAAAGTTTATGCAGCTAATGCCTTATGGTTTGCAGACTCAGCGGATTCTAAACCTGCAAGAATTGAGTCTATGGCCACTTGGGGGTAGCAGGCTGTATCAGCTACACTCTTCAGGCATATTGTTATATAACAGCAAGTGCACAGATTTAATTTCAACACCGGGAGGGGCCACATATGAAACTAAGGGTTTGTTTGGGACCTCCCCAGAAAATTGTGAGCATCAAGCACATAATTTCACTTAATTTCTTGCATTCTGGTGGATTTCTATGGTTCGTTTTTGTTTTTTTTTTTGCCTTTTTTGCATCAGTTTATGGTGAAAATGTCTTTACCTTTGTAGAAATAAAAATCCTTTGCTACTTCATGTTTTTATTTTGGGGT